AGTCAGGGGACTCTTGCTTTGTTCTGTTTTCTCCCTATGTATACACCAAACCCATGGCACAAGTCTCACCTTCTTGGCTTCTTTTGGAAACCCCTATTTCCAAAACAGTAAAACTTTGCTTTGCAAAATAGAGCTTTGGCCAGTAGAACATTCTTAGTGCCTCCTGCATATCTGAAGCTCCAATGATGCTCAGCAGAAGGTCAAGCTTACTTCCTTTGTAGAAGAACACTGCAGCCCACTGATTTCACATGACACCCTTCATTAGCTCAAAGACTCCATCAATAATCCTGCAGGAGCTGAATCACTTTTACATAGGATGTGATGTAATAATGACCCCACATCCTGTGTAAAACATATTTATCTTCTGTTTAGGTTTTGCACATCATAAATTGGTTGCTGTCCTGTCTGGGCCGTGGGACGGTTACAGCCAGTGAGCCAGAGATGATGGGATAGCATTGTAGCTCCCAGAGGTTCTTGTCAAATTAAGATGTATCCCATATGCTTGTATTCTATTGTCCAATGCAAGTCAGTGGCCATGATAGCTATCAGTTTCTTCTCTGGGCCCCACAAGCTGAGGCAGCCAAAATTCTAAACAGATGCTGCCATAGGAGTGTGCCTTTGCCTCCAACTGTTTCAGAGCCAGAGATTTGGCCTCAAATTATTTAGGAGATTCTCAGCAAGATGAAGGACAAAAATATAAAATGGAAAGGAGGTGAAAATTTCAGAATCTAATGATGATTTGATAAGAGGCAATGAATGTCAAGGCACAGACAAGGGTTAAGGATCGTGTCTCGGATTCACCTGGTGGCTAATGAATGATAATGCCAGCAACTAAGCTTATGAATAGGAGAGGAGAGTGTTCTACCTGGAGAAAGGATATGCTTATTTTTAAGCAACCTGTTGCTGGCTCATACCCTTTGAACTCTGCTTTGATTTTGACCTGTTGGAGCAAATCTTTGCTTCTCAGTCTCCAGGGCCTGTGTCTGGTCTCTACCTGTGTGTACCTGCCTTTGAGCATCCATGTAGAAGGAGACAAGAGGGAGCTGTGTAGAGAAGTAAGTCTCCAGAAAGATTACAGAGCTGGATCAAAAACCTGAGACCTGAAAGCATTGAAACAGTAACAACAGCTGCTTGGGTTGTGTTATTATTTACTGTGCTAGATACTGTGCAAATGTTTATGGGTTTTTTTTTCATTTAGTTCTCACAGTGGCCCTAAATGCTAGCTGATATTATTTAGCCTTATTTAGTAGCTAAGGAAATGAAGTTTTGAGAAACTTAAAAATGCAAAGTAAAAGCTCACCTAAGTCTTCCAACTAAGAAGATGCATAAATGACCTTTTATGGTACCAGTTCCTTTTCTGGTGCCACTATAAAATACCAACCACCAACAGCAACCTAGGGGAGAGTTTATTTGTGCATATGACACCACAGAGAGAGTCCATAATGGCCGGGAGCTGGCAGCAAGCAACCAGAGCAAGAAGCTGAGAGATCACATCAGGATTCAGAGGATGAGACAATTCTCAGTGCTGGTGCCCAGTGACATATTCCCTCTGGCAAGGCGACATCATCACCCCAAACAGGGCTACCAGCGGAAGGACTAAGTGTTCAAATGCCTGAACCTATGGGAGACACTTCTCATTCAAACCACCACTGGAGCTGAAGGTTTTGTTGAGTACATCCGTGTGTGTGTGTGTGTGTATGTGTGTGTGTGTGTGTGTAACTGCCCTAATAATGACCTCCGAAACCAGAAGAAGGAAACTGGCTTTGTCGTACTAAGGTTGACACTATGTTCACATAGCTCAAGACTCACCTTACCTCTGCTTCGGTAGAAGAGCTGCAAATCGGGCAATGTTCTCAGAATGTGGCTATATCAACTAATTCAAACCTATGCTGATAAGAGGTATATGGTGCTATTATTGCTGTTTTACAGACCAGAAACCTAGAAGCAGAGTTAGATGTTAGCGTTTCATTAAAGTAACAGATTTTAAAACTTGCAAGAACTAGGAGCTGAGAGTTGCATGCAGACAGTTCCACTCTGTCCTGTTCACCCGTGTGCCAGTCCATACAACCAAACCCAGATTGGCTAATCTACACTATTAAGGCAGACTGGTGCTGCTGACGTTGTGGAGAGGGCTGTCCTGTCCCAGAAGGAACCCTGAAGAGCCCTCTATTAATCATAACTGAAAACAGACAAGGGCATGATAGCATACAACTTTAATCTTAGTACTTGGAGGTGGAGGCAGGGGCATTACTTTGAGTGGTGAGCTCTAGGCCAACATAGTGAGAATCTATCTCAAAACAAGCAAACAAACAAATGAGGTAAAATAAAAATAAATAGAAAAGAAAATAGAAAAGGTTTTCTGCCAGGATGTCATCAAACCCTTCTTGCAGTCTGAGTGTGAAATGTCTTCTGAATTAGTCATCAGCTACGGAGGCCGTGCAGCCTTTGGGCAATGAGGCTAACTGAAGGAAGGTGGTCACTGGGGGTTGTACTTGAAGGAGTCATTGGGACTCTTGCCTCTCTTTTCTTTCTTCTTGGCATCTTGGCCACCATAGGTGAGCAGCTTTCTTTTGTCAGGAGTTCCTACCAAGAGGAACTCTCCTCACAAGCCTAACAGAAGCCCCATCAGGTGACTGAAGACTGAAGTCAAGAGACAAAATAACCCTTTTCCTCCTTTAAGTTAATTTGCCTCAGATACTTTGTTACAAAGACAGAAAGCAAACAGCCCTGGGGGCTCTAGCTGATGATGTGAACTTCAGCCTCCTGGCCTGGAAGCTCAGCCGTGTTCTGCAAGGCCGAGCTAGTCAGCTGTCAGCTATGTAACCAGCAACAGGAATTCCCAAGTAGACTCTCTATCCAGGAAGCTGGAGTACAAGAAGCATGAGGCTCACCCTGGAAATTTCACTTGAATATTTCTTAATTATTCTCTTCAGATGACAAAACCCTGCATTTACATGTGGTCTAGCCCAGAGCCATTGCTTTTGGAGGGGGGACACAGGAGCAGAGTAAGAGGGCCAGTGCTCACTCCTGCCAGGAAGGCCTGAAGCCTCAACTCAGCCACCTACTTGTGTACCAACACCCAAGGATTGCCTTCTGTGCCACTCAAGAGGACACACTGTGCTTTTCCTTCCTTACAGAACAGCTTTTCTATGTGATAGCAGCTTTCTTCCTAACCATGTCCTCGCTCTTTTTATCCAGTATGCTTTGCACTCCTGTGGGTAGACAGTGCCTGGGAAGGGGTGCACCAAGTAGAAAGAACTTTCGTGAAAGTTTCCAATCTGGATGGCTTTGGCCTTCAGAGAGAAGATTTGGGTATAGGATGCCTGTAATTCTTGCCAACATGCAATGAGGAGGGTGCTGTTTTATCATCTGTTCACAACTGAGAGACGTGCCAAAGGCCAAATAAGTCAGTGACAAAGCCAAGTTTTAAAGTGGTCTTTTGACCACTCTACTACAAAGCACTGTTTCTAATTCTCCAGCCACCAGAAGCGTGAGCAGATGAATGGGAATTGAGTTCCCAAGAGGGAATAGAACCCCTGATGCCACCATGACAGAGCAAGTATGAGACAGCTGAGGGCAGGAAGGTGATCCCCCACCTTCATCTTGCCCCTCCCTCTACCCCTCACTTTCTTCCTGTGGTGCTTTTCTCATTCCTTTGGTTTTTGAGATAGTATAGTCATACTCTATAGCTGTCACAAAACACACATTGTTTGGTCTCAAATTCACAGCAACCTTCCTGCTTTGGCCTCTTGAGTGCAGAGACTAGGTACAAGCCATGGTGCCCAGCTAGGAGATTTTTTTTAGTTTGGTCCTTTTGAAACAGAGACTGTTGGGGTTGGTGTGGTGCTGCTATGTATTCAGATGCTAAATACTGCCCCCCCAAGATCTGGTTGCCCCCCAAGAGCAAATCCTTACACAAATCAAGTGATGCTATGTAAACCTAGCTCCCCAGTTTTAAGCTCTTGATTAAATAAGACTGGCTACAGTCAATTACTAGGGAGTAGGGTAGGTGGAGTTTCAGTTCTGGGTGTGGGGATGGAAGGTGGGGGGATGGTCACAGGTAGGGACCGTGAGGAAGAAAGGAGAGTGAAGGAAGAGAGAACAGGAGGTCTCCATTGGCCGTGATGGACCAGGAGCATGCCCGAGTGAAATGCCCCTCTAGGACAGTTGGAGCAAAAGTAATCCAGGAGAGATTCAAACTGGGTATCTGAGGAGCCCAGACGGGAAGTAGACAGTCTATTGTCAGAAATATAGATTAGGGGTATTCTTCCAGTAATTGTACAAGAGCTGATTAGATAAGTCCACAGGCCCCTGTTTTTTTATGTATCCATCCCGTCTTCTATAAGCATTTTTTAGCCATCCATTCACTGATGGATCCCAGATACCTGGGACTGTGTGTAGTTCTTAGTCTGTGTTCAGCACATAGGAACTCAGCATTGTTGGGCGTGGCCTCATGAAGGGAGGTAAGTGCATCCAGGTGAGAGTGAAGGGGCTGTCATGGGGTCAACTGACAAGCTCTTCAGGGTAGAGGTGCCCACTGCTCAGCCTCCTTGGGCAGGTTTTCTTCCCTCCCACCTTTTCCAGCTAGCAGACTCTGGTGACTCGGTACATTTTCTGTACCTCACAATTGCTGCTTTTTCCTGAACACTGTTCTGCTTTCTCACAGACTTGATTTATTACCATCGTCTGAGGGTCTACTCAACTATATGGCATCCTTTCAGCTTTGTTTCCAGAGACAAATGCTTCTTTATATCTTGCCTTCTGATCTATGTCCCGGAAGGATGGAATCCATTGATGAAGCTCATCTTTTGCATTCTGTTTTGGAGAAGCAGCCCTCAGGTGACAGGCAATCCCTGGTCCAATCAGGAGCCATCCCTGGGTAAAGAACAACCTAGCTCTGCTGCACAGAACAGGGGGCTGTGGGTGGGGCAGTTTCATCTCAAAGAGGAAGTTGGGTGTGGCGGGCAGTTTGTTGACATACTATCCAGTACAGGAGTGCCCCTGGGAGCCATCTCTCATCTCTGACAGAGATGACTGTGGATTTACATCTCTTACCAGACATTCCCAGAAAAAGCACAGCCTGATACACCATTGGTTTTGTGAGTTTGGATTTCCCATCATCCATTCCTTGCTGTCTTCTTTCTGGACCTACTGTGATTCTTCAGCCTGTACCTGTTTGGAGTTCATTTGGGCCTGGAGTATTTCCTCTCTTTAGGTGAGTTGGCTGCTAACTGGACCGCCTGACTCTTGGGGAAAAGTGAGTGGTTGGATTCAACGTTGGTTCTGGATCATTCTTTTACCTTGGAAACCAATGGTCTTACTTCCTGTCCCCTCCCACCCACTCTTGTATACTCTGCTCCAGGTTGTCATCTACCTCAGAGTACCTTCCCTTCACAGGCCCTCCAATCTTCTCCGTAAGGAATGACATTAACAAGTAGTTAGCGGCTTCAGGGAGAGCAATTTTAGAGAAATATTTGGGGCTGTAACCAGGCAGAGGCCACGTGTGGAAGTGGCTTCAATAACTGAAAGACTACTGAAACAGCTCTAGTCAAGAATTTCGTTGTTTTGTTAAATAATTGGGTTTCTGATTATTTAGTACATGATTTTATGCAGTTTCAAAGAAAAAATATGAACAGCCAATTTATTTCTTTTTTAAGATTTATTTTCATTTTACTTATGTGTACTTGTGTGTGTGTGTGTGTGTGTGTGTGTGTGTGTGTGTGTGTGTGTATGGGGTGTTATGCACATGAGTGAAGGTTCTTGTGGAAACTTGAAGAGAACATCAAATTCCCAGGAACTGGGGTTACAGGCAGATATAATGTGCATGTTGGGAATTGAACCTTTGTCCTCTGGAGGAACAGCCAGTGCTCTTAACTGCTGGGCCATCTCTCCAGCCCTTATTTTTATATTTTAAACTTATGTGTGTGTGCATGTGTCTGTGTGAGTATATGCCACTTATGTGGGGTTGCATGCCAGGGCCAGAAGAGAATGTCAGATTTTTTAGAGTAGGAGTTTCAGATGGCTGTGAGCCAACTCATATGGTGCTGGGAATGGAACTCTGGTCCTTCAAAGGAGCAAGCAGTACTCTTAACCAAAGAGCAAACTCTGCTGCCCATAAATTATATTTACTTACTTATTAACAGCAAATGTATAGTGTCTCATTAAGGTAGTAGCCAAATGACTATGATAATTTCTAATTTTTGAACACCTACCAAATAGAAGATCTATGCTAATAGCTTTATACAATTTCTACTTCTTACACAGTACAAAGTTCTAGAAGAGCAGACTCTGAACAACAAGATCTGTCACACAGAGAAGGTCAATGTCCCTTTTCCTTGGGCATTAATGGATACCCATTGGTTTACAAGGGGCTGAGAATTCTGCTGGGGGAAAGCCCTAGATCTTAGCTCCACCAGGGTTTTGTCAGGAATAGACAGTCAGAAAGATGTGAGATTTCCAAGATAGACTGATGGCTGGCAGATAGAAGGGGTCTCACAGAGGGCACAGCATGTGGAGGACAGAGTCTTCATGACATGGCTAGTCTTTGGCATTAGAAGACCACACCTATGGCCAATTCATGTCAGGACTAAGCCATGACTCAATATGTGTCTTCTCAGAGAGAAACAAAAACAGGCGTTTGTGTAATACGAAGTTTTCTGCGGCCAGCCACCCCAAGAGTACCTGAACATGCTGTGAGGAAGAGAGCTTTCCATTTGCTGGTTTGAAAGAGGATGCTGTCAGGCATCCCACAGGCTGCCATGGTCCTTGGTACCCTTTAGAACCAGTAACATGGACCAGCTGTGATGGCAGGAGAAAGTTTTTTACAAGGCACTAGCCTTCTCACAAGACATTAGCAATTATGTCATTTAATTGTATAATAGCACTTCACGTGAGCACTGATGCTGAAAACATAAACTGTCTTACTTCCTGTTTTTGAAAAGCATCATTGACTAGGGTAGCCACAAGGGCTCCCTACTCATGCACTCTGATCTGGGTTTCTAACTCATACTGGAGCTGTCATCATGGGTCCAGCCAAGCTCACCAATCGTGATGTTAATAGCTCCGAGTTTAGAACACAGGTCAGCTCTGGCTACAGGACACACACAGATATCTCAAAGGGACCACACTGTTGGCCTTACTCAAGTACCTCCCACCTTTGTTTTCCATAACACTCAGCCATTTTGTTTTCTTCAATCTTTTTGATTCTTTGATTTTTACTATTTTTCTTTTATATTTTATTATTTATTTATTTTTTTTCTACATGCCTGTTTGTGAATGAGTGTGCATGTGCATGCCAAAGAACACATGGGACAGTCAAAGAAAAAAAAATTCAGTTACTCATTCTCTCCTTCCGCCATATTGGACCCAGGGATAGAACTCCGGATAGTGAATCTTGGCAGCAGCTACTTTTACCACTGAGCCATGTATCTTACTGGGCAGTTTGTTTTAGTCAGGGTTTCTATTGCTCTGATGAAAACACCATGACCAAAGAGACTTGAGGGGGGAGGATTTATTTAGATATGTTTCCCCATCACAGTTCAGGGTCAAAGGAAGTCATGGCAGGAACTCAAACAGGGTAGGAAGCTGGAGGCAGGAGCTGATACACAGGCCATGGAGAGTGCTGCTTACTGGCTTGTTACTCATGGCCTGCTCAGCCTGCTTTCTTATAGAACCCAGGACCACCCCCCAGAGATGGCACCACCCATAATGGGCTGGGCCCTCCCCCATCAATCACTAATTAAGGAAACGCCATACAGGCTTGCCTGTAGCCCCGTCCTGTGGAGGCATTTTCTCAGTTGAAGCTCCCTCCTCTCTGATGACTGTAACTTGTGTCAAGTTGACATAAAACTAGCCAGGACACAGTTGTTCTTTTTCTTATCTTATAATGTAAATATCGTGGAAGGACTGTCCCGATTTGTTTATCTTTGTGTGCCTTGAATCAGTGTCAGGCACAGAGTGTTCATTATACATTAAGTTAATCCACTTCATTAGTTTCTCAGAAATATTTGTGGGGAGATAAAATCTGTCAGAATCTTTAACTAGGGAAACCTAGGATTTTTTTCTTTATGTTGTAGCAACCCTACAATGGAAATACTCTGATATGCTTAATTTTTTTATACTAGGAAACTGAGGGATTACAATAAAGAAGCAACTTGCCTCTGGCCCCATAGCTTATTAAATTGATCACAGCTAGTAAAACTGGTGTAAGTAACTGTAGAATGTATACCTCCTATAGCTGAGGCAGGAGCTAGGGAAAGTCTTAACTGGTGAGGATGAAATGGAGTTGGGGGGAGCAGCAAGCAAAGCACAGTGGTGCACACGTGGCAATATCAGTATCTGGGATGCTGAGACAGGATGGTCATGAACTTGAGGCCAGCCTGGGCAACAAAAGAAGAGCTCTTCTTCTGGCGCCTCCTAGGCAGTCTGCCATTTTGAGATGAAGCTGAACATCTCCTTCCCACCCCCTGGCTGCAAGAAGCTCGTTGACGTGGACGATGGACAGAGCTTTGTGCTTCATCTGAGAGCACATGGGCAGAGAAGCAGGTGCTTCTCTAGACTAGAAGAAGTCTAGAAGGATTATGAAGACTAGAAGGATTATGCGGTCTGATCAGCCGTGGGAACAACAGCGAGGTCTGCCCCATGGCAGAGTGCTCCTGCTGTTGACTACGGGCGTTCTTGCTATAGAATGAAGGGAGAAGAGGGGGAGTGCAAGGCTGTTTGGGGAAGCATTGTGGATGCCAACCTGAGTGTCATCAACCAGGCTATTGTACAAAACAGAGAGGAGAGGAGAGTGGAAGCTTCTAGCCATTTGGAAAGTCAGTTATATCAAATGATGTTTTGCTGGGGCATACAGGTGAGCTAAAGCAGACACATGAGAGAATGTTTTCCTGAAGCAGACACAGGGGAAAGGATGTTTTGTTATAGCAAACACACAAAAGGATCCATGTTGAAAGAAGTATAACTATGACCCCACAGACAGTGGGAGATGAGCACTGAGCATTGGTTTGATTTGCTCCGCCTTGCTATTCTTCACTAATGACACGCATCTAGTGGTTCGCCTTACACAGTGTTGTGGAGCTCAACTTGTGGTAATGATGATGGCGTTGAGAGAAACTCAAAGAACTCTGGTGAGGTTCCTGTGGCAGCCTGCCACTTCCTCAGCCTCACCTTGGGCTGGTTGGTGAGCCTGGTAGTTTCTTCAAGATCGTACTACAGTTGCTGCTTTGTGCCTGGTGTCTGCCTGCCTAGAGGACTGAACTGAAGGTGCTGAGACATAGTTGGTGCTTGCTATGGGACTGAACTGCTGCCAAAGAGGATTGAGCTCACCCCAAAGAGCTATTGCTGAACAGGTCCACTTCCACCATATTCTAATAACTTTTCTCTTCCACTACCTATGCTGGGTGGTGGGCTAGAGGAGAGGTTGGACCCTTATTAAAAGTAGGTTGCAAAAAAATATTATGGCTACAAATGGGAATTCGTGGGTTGACAGATATTACTGTGCCCTAGGAGTTGGGAACCAAGAGAGCTAACAGAATCTGAAAGTTTTCAATATCGCTGAAGAAGATGATGTCCACCAATGTGTTGTTACAAAACTCCTAAGCAAACAATGTCAGAAGCCCAGGGCCAAAGCACCCAAGACTTGGTGCCCTGTCATACCTCTGTCCTGACACACGTGCTGACACAGTGCTCTGAAGAAACAACACACCAAAGCAAACAAACACAAAAACGAACAAACAAGGAGGAGGCTGCAAAATATGGCGAACGTTTAGCCAAAAGAATAAGGGAAGTCAAAGAAAAATATCAGGGACAGATTGTGGGGAAACATGAACTCTCCTCATGGAGAGCTTCTACTTCTGAGGACAATGCGGGGGCGGGGGGATAGAAAAGAAAAGAAAAAAGAGAAGGAAAAGGGGGGAGAAAGGCTTTTAAGAGTACCAGATAAATGATCAGAACTTGAAAGAGGAAAAAAGAAGGGTGATAGGGAGAAGAGACAAACATAAAAAGAGAAGAAAGATGGGGGTAGGGGGTGGGGGCGGGGGCAGGGGAAATTGTGCATTGGGTAAAGTACTTGCCCTGTAAGCATGAGGAGCTGAGTTCAAATACCTAGGCACTGTCCCTCCTACAGCAGCAAATAAAGAAACCCTGCAACCCCCAAAATAAGTTGGAAGGTAAGGACCAATATTGGGTGAGGTCCTGTGAATTCTTCACACACAG